TCCTGATCCTCTCCCTATCAGTGGGAACCAACCAAACTGCATGACGGGCCAACTCCAAAAACCTCATCTCGTATTGCATCACAGACATATCATCCTGACGTAACTGCTCAAACTGTCTGCGCAGCTCCTCTCTACGAGACTACGGCACGAACTTCTCCAAGAAGAGAACGGAGAACTCCTGCCAAGTAAGTGGTGCTGCACCAATCGGCCTACGCCTCTCATAAGCCTCCCACCAACCGAAGGCAACCCCAGAGAACTGAAAAGTAGTGAACGAGACCTCACTGGTCTCCAGAATACTTGTTGTACAGAGAATCCTCTAACACTTGTCCAAGAAACCCTGGGCATCCTCCGCCTCTATACCACTGAAAAATGGAGGCTGGAGTCTCCCAAATCTCTCCAATCTTCGCTGATCATCATCAGGCATAACAGGAACCACATGGGCCTGCGTAGCTGCAATCAGCAGGGCTGGTAGTGCCCCCGGTGTCTGGAGTCCCTCCATTACCTGCTCTGGTGTGCGGGCAGCGGGAGTCTGAGTACCTCCCACGGCCTGAGAAGTGGTTGTTGCGGCTGGAAGAGAGACGCCTGAGCTAGACTGGTGCACACGGTTAGAATCTGAGCTAAGGCCTCTTGAAGGCCTGGAATCACAATGGGCACGGGTGGTGCCTGAGCTGGCCCCAGAGGCTCCTCCACAACGGGGACCTGCTCCTGAATTAGGGCAACTGGTGGATCTGCAGGTGCTGCCCTTGCTGTTGTACGAGCTGCACCTATGCCCCTACCGCGGCCTCTACCGCGACCTCGGCCTCTCGCGGCCCTGGCTGGTGGTACTGGTGGCTGTCCATCTTGTCCAGTAGTACGTGTCCTCTCCATCTGTGAGAGAATAGAATAACAGAAGTTTAGTTACCAAAATTAACAGATTCGCACCACAAAAATTCGAGAATGTGAAGTTTCCTAAAGGTTCAGCAGCCTCTCGAAGATAAGTACAGACGTCTGTGTACCGATTCGCAAGACTCTACTAAACCTGCTCATGACTCATGAGACCTATGTAACATAGGCTCTGATACTAACTTTTCACGACCCAATCCTAACCTGTCGTGATGGCGCCTATCGTAATACTAGGCAAGCCGACATTTTCAAAATACTCTCAACATTTAACAGGAAATGAATCAAATAATATTAAATAACCAAAATTTTCATAAAAAGGGGTAAAAACCCAAAATAAAAGTGCGGAAAATAGCTCCCAATATCAGGGTGTCACTGGTCCCATGAGCATCTATACATCACCAGTCTAGAAATGTCACGTCTATAACAGCTTGGATCAAAATACGACGAAACAAAAGATAAGGAAGGAGAAACAAGGACTGCGAACGCCAGGCAACTACCTCAATATCTCCAACGGTCAACCATGCACGATATCAACGCCCTCCATGTCCGGAAACACCTGGATCTGCACACGAAGTACAGGGTGTAGCGTGAGTACAACCAACTCAGTAAGTAACAACAATAAATAAGGAACTGAAAGATAGTGACGAGCTACACAATTATAACTCATTTTCAGTAGTCTCAACAAGGAAAATAGACATGCTTCCGAATCCGGAAAATTTAGTCAAATCAGTTTATACATCCCAAGTTCAAGTAAAACCGGATAAAAATATCTCTCAGAAGTTTTCAAAGACCATTGATATATGGCAACTATGTGCAACAACAATGAAATCATATACAACCAGGGCAACAATCACTCAGTCCTCCCATTCACTCCAACCTCACAATCACTCATTCCTCGCAGTCACCCATTCCTCACGGTCACTCAGCACGCGGCACTCGGCACTCGCACTCAGTAGGTACCTGCGCTCACTAGGGGTGTGTACATATTCCGGAGGGGCTCCTTCAGCTCAAGCGCTATATCAAGCCAATCTTGGCATAAATTAATGAAACATGATGCGGCGTGCAGCCTGATCCCATAAATATCCTCACAATCAGGCCCTCAACCTCACTCAGTCATCAATCTCTCCAGTCTCTCGGGCTCTGGAAATCATAAAAATCATCCCAACAGCAATAATATGATGTATCAACAAGAATAATAGAGACTGGTATATGATATGCGAGTAAAAATTGAGATTAAGTACAAATAGCATTTAACAGGTAATTTCAACATGTAACACGGCCTATGTGGGTCCCAACAGTACCAACACATAGCCTAAACATGGTTTCTAACATGATTTACAGTCAAATTTCTATAACACATGGAGAGCATATAGCTAACAACAATTTTTCAACTCTACAGTTTCACGGAATGGACAAAGTCACAATTCCCACGGTGCACGCCCACACGCCCGTCATCTAGCATGTGCGTCACCTCTAAAACAATCATGTAACAAAATCCGAGGTTTCATACCTTCAGGACCAGATTTAGAACTATTACTTACCTCAATCCGAGCAAAACTCTACTCCAATACGCCATTGCCTCACAAATTGGCCTCCAAACGTCCCGAATCTAGCCATAAGTAGTATAATACAATCAATACAGGCTAAAGGAATCAATTCTACAAGAAATTATGAAATTATAGCTCAAAATCCGAAATCAGCTCAAACCCAGCCCCCGGGCCAACGTCTCAAAATCTGACAAAAATCACAAAATCCGAAAGCTCATTCGACCACGAGTCTAACCATACCAAATTTATCAAAATCCAACACCAAATGGCCATTCAAATCCCAAAAATCAACTCTCCAAATCCCTAGCCTCAAACCCCTAAATTACACCTCAAAAATACACCAACTAGGTGGGAAAATCAGTGGGAAACATAAATATTGAATAGAAATGATCACAAGGAACTTACCTCAAGAATCACCTTGAAAATCCTCTCAAAAATCTCCAAAACCGAGCTAAAAAAGTTAGAAATGTGAAAAATCCCGGAACCCTCATTTTTGAACCTTTTTATACATCCCAGTGATGCCTTTATCGCGAACGCGGAAGAATCCTCGCGTTCGCATAGAACAAAACATACTGCCCCACAAACTTACACTACGCGAACGCATAATACCTTCAGGCTTCAGCGATCGCGTACAGCTGTCTCCCCAAAGCTACGGGATCGCGTCTATCCCTATGCGACCGCATAGAGCAATTGCCTGATCCCAGCTCTTGACTCCAATACTCTACGGGAACGCGATCCTGGCCACGCGTTCGCGGTTCACAGCATTCCACAACTACGCGATCGCGTGAGAAGGTCGGCGATCGGGTAGAACAAATTCCTCTACTGCTCTCAACTAAGCTTACGCGATCGCGGACCTTCCCACGCGATCGCATAAGAGGAAACCAGAACCAACAAAAAACAAAAAAACCTCAGCTAACAAGCTAAGTCCAATAATGATCCGTTAACCGCCCAAAACTCACCCGAGGCCCCTCGGGACCTCAACCAAACATACCATCAAGTCCCAAAACATCATAGGAACCTAGTCGATCCCTCAAATCACCTCAAACAACATCAAAAACACGACTTGCACGTGGATTCAAGCCGAATGAACTTTGAAATTTTCAAATTCTACAAACGACGTCAAAACCTATCAAATCGCGTCCGATTGACCTCAAATTTTGCACACAACTCATAAATAACACCACAGACCTACTCCAACTTCCGGAATAAGAATCCGACCCCGATATCAAAAAGTCCACTCCCGGTCTAACTTTCCAAAATTCCAACTTTCGCCATTTTAAGCCAAATTCTAATACGGACCACCAAATCACAATCCGGACACGCTATTAAATCCAAAATCACCTAACGGAGCCACATAAGTCAACATCGGTCAACTTTTCCAACTTAAGTTTCTAATTAAGAGACTAATAAGTGTCTCAATTCACTCTGAAATCTCTCCGGACCCGGAACAACCAACCCGGTAAGTCATATAACAGCTATACAGTACAAAAGGAGCAGAAAATGGGGGAACAGGGCTACAACTCTCGAAACGACCGGCCGGGTCGTTACAATAGTCTTTTATTGCTCAGACGCCTCAGTTTGTTTGTAAAACATGCACTGGCTAGGTAAACAAAGAAGTGTCTTAACTACACTTTAAAAAGATTGAGTATGTAAGATAATTTTTATATGCAAAAAGTGTGTAACAGAAATTTGATCCTTAATTCAGGGGTAACTTATGTATTTTGCCTTTGGAATACACTAATACATGTATTATAGTTCCTACTTAACAAGTTCAGGAACCAAATGACCCCTACGAATTGTAACCTATTGTATGGTATTGTTACTGTAAATAGAATATTTATTTTTATTGTTACTCAAATTTTATTGTATTTTATCGTTAAATCTGTTGTTACGTAACGACGAAAAGTACCACTTTATGGAACGACCGATTTGGTGTGATTGCGTCGTTACCTTATTTTTTCTCTCATCTTGCCCTTTCTTATTATTAAATAATCATATTTTATCTTTTACCCTACCTTTTTATATAATAATTTTACCTCGTACTTTATTTTTTCTTTATAATATTATAACTTTATTTTTTTCATATTGTTGGTGAATGACTTAATGAAATAACGGCAAACAATATAATCTATCAAAATATTGTGTACATCAAAATGATACAGTACAATATATTGCAGCACTATACGATACATTATGAAACGATACATAACCATCCAAACAAGATGTTCGATAAAAAAAAAAAAAAAAAAAAAAAAAAAAAAAAAAAAAAAGAGGTGAAAGGCTTGCCAGAAACTCACAAAGTTCTTGCAATGTAGTGGATCACATACACCCATTCAAGGGACTATAATGTTAAAGTAATTCTCCATGCCTATTCAGAGTATCAATTAGACACAAACAATCATTAAGAGAGTTCTGAAGAACACAATGTTGGCACATATACCAGTATCGTTTGGAGAGAAATATAACTGCCAGAGTAGCACAAATTAAGCAGCGCAAAACAACAGGAAACAGGAAGGGAAATGGTATTAAAATTTTCCTCATAGTAAAACCAATTTATGAAAGAATGGAAGATACTTGTAAATGAATGCATTAAAATTAAACTGAGTTGCCGGAAACGAGAGAGAAACAAAAATTAGGACAAAAGTAAGGCAAGGAAGGTAAATACACAACTATCCATAAAGACAGTGCTTGAATCAACCAAAATCCCCTAGTTTTATCATACAATTTAAAGTGAAATATGCAAACTCCCTGTAAGATTTTCTTTCTGCCGCAATATTATTACTCAGAACTTTCAGCGCTCTCCTCCGCCTCACCACCTGAATTCAAAATTAACGAGTTAGGAAAAAGAAGAGATCTTAAGAGGAAATTTTCAGATTCCAAAATTCGAAAAAGAGAAACTAACCATCATTATCTTCTTGGTCGTCTCCTTCCTCATCCTCCCATTCATTTTCATCGCCATACCGCTCATTCAAGAAATCCACAGCCGATTTAGTTAAAACCAGCTTCTCAGAATCCAATATGTCTAACAGATTCAACGTTCTTGGAGTCAACATTTTCAAAGTCCCAATGTTTCTGCTGGACAGAATCACATTGTCTGAAACCTCCGTCATCAAAAACAAAGATTTCTCTTTAGGGTCCAAACCCCACCTCCTCATCAATTCAATAAATTCCTTAGTCTTTGGCTTTTCAAATTTATCATTAAACTCTTCTACAACGATAGTATTCTCCCAAGCACTTGAAAGCGCCGTAGAAATGGCCAGTCTCTTTTCCTTTTTGTTGATTTTAACTGACCAGTCCTTTGGCTTCGGTCCAAACACAACCCCACCACCGGGCCGCAAAGGAGTTCGATTTGAACCGCGGCGAGCTCGGCCCGTTTTCTTTTGAGGGTAAGGTTTGATACCACCGCCCCGGACTTCTGAGCGTGTGAGAGTGGAGGCAGTGCCGCGGCGTTGGTTGCGGAGGTCGGTGGTGAGCCCACGATGGACGACGGCGCGTGCGGTATCTAGAGGGGCAGATTTTAGATTGAGAGTGGTGGAGCCCACCTCGGCACCATCGAAGGACAGAATTGGAATAGCGGCGACCTCTGAACGGATGGTGGCAATGGCAGCGACAGAGAGTTTTTTGGGGGATCTGAAAAGGAGGTGCTTTGAGGATTGGATGTTGGGGTTAGAGAGGAAAATGGAGGAAGAAAAGAAAGAGAAGGACGAGGGGGAAGCAGCCATTGTTTGAGTGAAGGAGCAAAACATTTGGAGGTGATGAAATGTATTATCTACAAATTTTGCTGGTTTACCCGTTTCCACTCTTTTCTTTCTTCAATTGGGGTCATTCGGGTTATGGATCCCCTTCGTCTAAAACCGGTTACCTGATTGCCAAATTTTCTTTTCTTTTTTCTATGTAAATGTAAAAAATAAAATTCAACCGAGTCCGTTGTTATTTATATAATTATATCTATCTATATTATGACCCAAAAAAATATCTATTTATATTTTTAACTATCTATCTATATCTATCTATATCTATCTATCTATATTATTATAAAAACATGAATACAATATCGGTTTACCAAAATAACCCTAAAATATAGCTATAGTATTGGATATAATTGTAATATTTCCTTTTGTATCCGATTTGGTTTTTAATTTGGTTTAGGCTTTTTTTTTCAACAAAAATATATTAATGTAGCCCATGTGTAGTTAGATTCATAGGATTTCAACTTATATTACACAACCTAACGGTATACGAACCTATTAAAGTTTTATAAAGATCTTTATGAATTCTATTGACAATTAACAACAAAGAAATAACACTCTTGTGTATGCTTCTATTCGAACTGAATTTATTATGAATACATAGCTATTGATCTAAATTTATGATTTGAAAGATAAAATATTTTAAAAAATAGTTCAATACTCCTATTAGATAATATGGTAATTAGATAATATTAGATAAAAATTGGTAATTATATTAGATAATATTAACCTAACTAAAATACCATGTTTTTAGACTACATGACCTTCTATTAATTTTTTTAATATTTGATATTTAAAAATTAAATTTGTCTATAAACTTCTTATTAAAAATATGTAGGTAAGTTTAATAAAATCAATTTCATAAAAATCCTCCATATTGACAGTACATTACCACTCCATAATATCCAATACTAAGAGAAAATAAAAGTAATATTAAATGGACTGCATAAGCTGTTGAAATTGAGAAAAAATATCCCCATAATATATTTTTGTATTATATTTAAACTGTTTTCCTACTCAAATAATATATTTTTAATCAATTATTTAAAAATATACCCAATTATTAAACAACAGCTAAGAAAAATTTTAAAAATATAAATGTGTAAGAAATAGAAGGAAAAATGGTTGGTAAGAGAGGCAATACCACTAATGATTCTGCAAACGTAAAGATCTAAACGTGAAATATAAGATCGATCTCTTTACTCTTTGAAAAGAAAATTTATGGTGGATAAAATTATAATTAAGATTAAATCTTCAAAACATGAGATGAACTAATAATAAGAATCTAAATCAACATATAATAAACAATTTTTTTTTTGTAAAGACCAAATAATTAAATCTTTCAATTAATTATTTAGCAAGAGAATGCAATTCAATTATTTTTAAAATTTATCATATGAGTAAAATTATTTTTCAAGTTAAGAAAAATCTTAGGGTACATACATTTATTCTATAGAAAGAGCGTTAGAGATTAAAAAATTAGAACACAAAGTAAAAAATATTATTATAGTATTAAGAATCAAACAACCATACAAGTGTATGTTGAAGCACAATCAAAGCTAAATCATGAACAAGAACAAGCTTTCAAGACTATATTATAAAGAGTCGGCTTTTATACGGGATTATCCTTTGTAGATGCCTCTTGCTGAATTGAAAATATTTCTATGTCATGCATTACTTGCACATGTCAAATCAAGAGGCATGATACTGTTAGCAATAATAACAAATGGTGTACCGACAACGATTTTATTATGAGGCCACTCACTTTAGATGTGATATACCTTTTCAAACAACTGAAATAACCAATACAAATACGTCAAAGCAGAGCAACAATGCTAAATCTATAAGGAAAATAAAATTGATAATATGTGATGAAGCGCTTATGGCTAAGTGTTAAATGACGAAACAATTGCCCCTAGAGATATATTGAATACCAGTAAGCCATTTGGTAAAAAAACTAATGGCTTGGAAGGTGATTTCTGTCATATACTATCAATAGTTACAAAATCGACGAAATCAAAGACTGTAAAAAATAGCTTTTTTAAAATTATATTTATGGCCTCAAATAAAAAAGATTTAACTAACAAGGATAATTTTCGGTATATTTATATTTTGCAATTATAATAAATAAAGCAAAAGGATAAACTTTCTAAATATTAGACTATATTTATCACAATATGTTTTCTTGCACGAACAGCTATATGTTGCACTTTCAAGAGGAACGAATATCAATACCAACAACAAGAGTTCTGGTTATGGCAGAGCAACCAAAACATTAGAAGGAAATATACACAAAAAACCATCAAAAAAGAAATGTTTGGTAAGATACCATCAAATTAAATACTTTTAAACTATAATACGTAATTATCTAACTAACATGACTAAATTGATCATTTGTGTAAGTTCTGATGATGTCCTTTTATTTTGAATTCACATATCATGCTAATGTAATAATATTTTTCGACTTTCAGATGATTAAAATGGTTAAACCATCACGTGCAATTATTAACGTGCAATGCACGTTCATAGATACTAGTATATTAAAAAGCACGAAACCCTTTAACAAAATATTATTCATCTTTTTACCCTTCATAAGTACACTTTAAAATGGATAAAATTATTTAAAAATGAAAAGACAAAATAATTTTTCCGGAGTTAATTTTATAGGTGGCCATTCAACTCTGTGTTTATTATCCAAAAGTCAATTTTCTTTCTTTTGTCACGTAAAAGTCATTCAACTTTGTGTTCATTACCCAAAAGTCATTTTTCTTTCTTTTGTTACAAAAAAATTATTTTACTATGCTCTAGTTATCACAAAAATCCCTTTGACCAGATTTTACAAATCTTTCACCTGAAAAGTCTATTATGCCCTTGACATTATAAATCCTCTCATTAAGTAATACCTTTTATATTATATGTGCTATATAATATACTTTTATCCAGATATTTTACTTATAATCAAAATAACTTAATATTATTTTATTTATTATTTTTATAATATATATTCGTATATTTATGTTTTCTTAATATTAAGTTTCAAAATGTATAAGTAGCATTATTAAATTTGTCAGTAACATTACCATGAACGAATCTCAAGTCCACGTTATTAATCATGCTTAATGAAATATGTTTAATTAAAATTAAATAATTAAAGCTCATTCATTTATCAGCCAAGCCATACCCATTAATTAATAAAAAAATTCCCACATTTAACAAAATGACACATCAGATTAATACTTTCAAATAAATAATATTAATAGATAAAGCTTTAAAAACATAATATTTACCAAATATATTTGAAACTTCTTTTAAAATTTTAATGACTATAAAAAACTATCATTTGGTAAATCTGTTTTTATTATTTTAAATAAATATAAAAAAATATTTTTTATCATTTTAATATTTAAAGTATGTTCAAGTTTAAATATGATTAAGCAAATTGAGTGCCATGGAAAAATTAAATATATGGATATATTATAAAAATAATAAATAAAATAATATAAAGTTATTTTAATAATAAATAAATTACCTAGGTAAAAATATATTGTATAGATATAATATAGAAGGTATTACATAAATAAGAGGATTTGTAATGTCAAGGACATAACAGACTTTTTAAGTAAAAGTAGTATAAAATATGGCCAAGGTAATTTTTTGTGATAAATAGAGCAAATTAAAATAATTTTTGTGTAACAAAACAACAAAAAGTGACTTTTGGATAGTGAATACAAAGTTGAAATTTTATGCAACAAAAAAAAGAAAAGTGACATTTACGTAATGAACGCAAATTTGTATATGTAACGACCCGACCGGTCGTTTTGAGAATTTGCACTTCGCTCGATAGTTTGGGGGCACAAGTAATACTGTATGATGTATTATGACTTGTGTGCAAAATTTTAGTTCATTCCGAGTTGAATTGATATGTTTCCACGCGAGTTTTTGGAAGTCGAAATTTCATTAAGTTTGATTTGAGGTGTGTTTCGTTGTTTCGATTTTGTTATGCATGATTTAAGGCCTCAAGTAGGTCCGTGTTTTGTTATCGGACTTGTTGGTATGTTCGTACGGGGTCCCTAGGGGCTCGGGTGAGTTTCGGATAGTTTTGGGCTCTGTTGCACTCGTTTTTCTTATGTTTTGACGTCGTTTCTTCAAGCATAAATGGTACCACATTAAACAAATGAGCTTCGATTTCTGTTTTGAATGAAGCAGTAGATCCGTATCATAATTAAGGAGCAATAGAAAAAAGAATCGTCAAATTTGGACATCGCATGAGCATTTTATGGTTATTTTACTAAGAATAGAGTTGCCAGATTTTCAGATTAATTACGAAATTGTCACTAACTTCATATTTAAGAATCTGCACTATTTCAAAAAATTGAAACCAATATATCTCCTTAACTATAAGGTCAAATAGAGTGATTCAAAAGCCTAACTTGACTAAAATTTCACAAGGAATTCATTGTAGGTATCAGAAATGAGTTTTGGGATCATTTGGCATGCTAAACGAGGTAGAACAGCTGGGCAAAAATATTTAATATCGCAAATTTGTTCATTTGGTGATATTTTGACTTGGTGAGCTTAGATTTGGACAATTTTTTGAGGCGATTTTTGTCACGGCCCAAATTCCAAACCCGGCTGTGATGGCGCCTCTCGTGAAGACAAGGCCAGTCAGAACAACGGAATCACTTCTTTAACCATTACTTAACATTAATGAATCCAAAAATGCATATAAAACAGTTATAAAAGCGGAAACAACGACAATAGCAAAGGGAACCATCCCGACATAGCCCAAACCGGGGTGTCACAAGTCATGAGCTACTACAGAGTTCGTAATGAGTCTACGAAATAAAATATCTCATACAATAGTCTAAAGGAACTCAAAAGACATAAAATAGGGAAGACAAGGGGCTGCGGACGTCAACAGCTACCTCGTCACTCCAACTCGCTGCCTGGTCTGGAAAGAATCAACGCTCAGGTGCAGACTCTGCTATGCCTGTATCTGCACGCATGGTGCAGGGAGTAATGTGAGTACTCCGACCCAGTGAG